TATTATCATATAGACAATTTCAATTAATCAATTAATTAAATTAAGATCAATATTTATATTTTTTATACATATTTTTTTTAAACAGTTTTTACAAGCGCCTGGGTCGAACCCAGGCCAGGGGATTGGGGCAGTGCACCTGAAGTGACTATTGTCATTTGGTCCGAAAGACTCGGTGTATTTTTTATACATATTAATTATAAAAAATATAATAAATATATATTTAATTTATACTTTAAAAACATGTAATAAAAATATTGTTACTATAATTAGAAAACTATCACTTTATTTTTCCAAAAAAAGCGTGACCACTAGGCCACACAGGTTAATGGCGATAAGCGAACGTGTTGAACTCATTGTGTAGGCAGGATGGGAGCTACCTAACTTTAATTAGGGGCGGTCCGGGGCAAGCTGCCTCACCTAAACTTGTTAGAGTATATAGAATGGGGCTTCTTTATTTATTTATTTATGATTAAGGTGTTTTTAAATCATTCTTTTTATGTTTTGAAATTAATCTCTCCTTTTATGATCTTAAAGGCTCATCCTCTATATTAAGTTGGTACATTAAAAAATATTCATTTTTTTAAATATTAATTTTAAAATTTAAATTTTAAACTTATTCATAACATTTGCTTCTTAGTGTGCTTAACCCTTATAATTAAGATTTTTTTTTTAATATTTTCTTTTAAAAATAGAATAGGTACAAAGTTTTAACTCATTAAAGTATATTCTAAAAGAAAGTTTGATTTTTCGCACAGAACTCCATTCTCTTTAGTTTGTTTATTTAAATTTGTTTTTAAGTGGTTATGATGATGTTGGAAGACTTTTGAAAACTTTGGAGAATGGAGAATGGAGCAAAGAGCCACGTACAAGAGAAGGATGGGAATAGGGATGTTAATGGGGTCTCGCGGGGTCGGGGAGTCCCTCCTTGTCCCTGTCCCTGTTCTTGTCCCCGTGAATGGCGGGGATGGGGATTTCTGCGGGGAATTTTAACGGGAGATAAATTTTGCTTCCTATTCTCGTTCTCCGCGAGATCTCCATTCCCCACCAATTAATATAAAAAAATAAAATTTTTTTATATATAATTAATTAATATTCAATTATCATAAATAAAATTTTAAAAATTCAAGTATAATTAATTAAAATTCTTTAAATATAAATTATCCAAATATAAATAAAGATCAATCTAATATAAATAACTAAAAGGTTAATAATAGATTGGATAAAAATAGATTAAATTTAAATTTTATTAAATTGGATTTAGGTTTGAAGGTTGAATTAAATTTAAAATAAAATTAATTTATATATTTTTTTAATTTTTCACGGGAATGGGGATCCTCACAAGACCACGCGGGACGGGGAAAATTCTCCATGAATTTTCACAGGAAGAAAATACTCTCTATCCCCGCCCCATAGGGAGTAATATTCCTCCTCGCCCCGTCCTCATGGCGGGGATCCCCACGGGACTCCACGGGGATCGAGGCAAATTGCCATCCCTAGATGGGACGGCATATGGAGTGCGGCTGAGTGGACTGTGTAGCTTGCTCGTAATCAAAAGATATTCCATGACAAAGAGATAAAC